TTCAGGTGAAAGGGAACGTTTGAACACTATCAGAAGGTTTTTGTTGTTGCTGTTGCTGTTGCTGTTGCTGTTGCTGTTACTGTTGGGTGTTGGTTGTTGGTTGTTGGTTGTTGGTTGTTGTTTGTTTTTTGTTGTTGTTGTTGTTGGTGTTGTTGTTGGTGTTGTTGTTGTTGTTGTTGTTGTTGTTGCTGTTGTTGTTGAACATTATTACTTCTAAAGAATAATTATTGTTGGGACCCCTGGTGCACGACCCCCCTCCAAAACCTAGGCCGCAGCTACATTTTCATCATTTTTTCGCGAAAGCTTCAGAAAAGTGGATTGTGTCCGGATCCGGTTGTTTTGTTGACGCCGTTTTCCCTTGCAAAAAACACTATAAAATGAAAATTCTTGTTCTTACTTGATCAAATTGCAAGAATCCCTTGCAAAAAATAAGGTAAAGTGGACATTCGTGCGCGCAAGACGAAATCCTTCCAAAACCTTAGGTTTCGTAGCGATTTTAACATAAAAACATCAAAAACCCAATGGTTTTTTTAAGAAAAAATTGTCAAAATGTCCTTCCGCGCGCGCTGTCCGAATCCCACAAAACCAATGGTTTTTCAACATTTATGTTACATGAGCTCGCGCGAGCTACTTTTTCTTGTTCTAACATAATCAAATTTCAATAATCCCTTACAAAAAATAAGGTAAAGTGGACATTCGCGCGCGCAAGACGAAATCCTTCCAGAACCTTAGGTTTCGTAACGATTTCAACATAAAAACATCAAAAACCCAATGGTTTTTCAAAAAAAAATGTCCAAATTTCATCCCGCGCGCGCTGTCCGACTCCCACAAAACCAATGGTTTTTCAACATTTATGTTACATGAGCTCGCGCGAGCTACTTTTTCTTGTTCTAACATAATCAAATTTCAATACTCCCTTGCAAAAAAAAGTAAAGTGGACATTCGCGCGCGCAAGACCAACAAAAAACACGACGATCTCAGGAACTTGCCCCAAAAATGTGACCAACTCCGCTCTCTCTGTCTCTCTCTCTGTCTGCTCTCTGTCTCTCTCTCTGTCTGTCTGTGTCATGTATTGTATGTCACAATTGCAGGATGCTGGGCACACGCGCGCCCCGAATAAGTGACCAAGTTCTGTGGGTGTGTACCCCACGCCAGTGTAGTAGCCACGGTCGTCCGCACGCCACGAAGTGAAGTGTCCCAACGTCATAGGGCGGGAAGCTGGGTTTGGGTGGTCGCGAAGAGTCGTTTGGATATTTGGTAGAGCTTGAACTGCCCCCCCACGAAGTGGGGGTATTGTCTCGCGTCGCATGAAAACCCTGGCACTGGTGAGAACACTGAGCGTTCGGGTAAAATGATTGTTGTTGTTGTTGTTGTTGTTGTTGTTGTTGTTGTTGTTGTTGTTGTTGTTGTTGTCGTTGTCGTTGTCGTTGTTGTTGCTGTTGGTATGTATGTGTGTATATATATGTACATATCATGTGGGAGAACCTCCCGGCTTGACCTTTCCCGATACGGCCACATGTCTGGGGCCCGGCTCCCGCCAGCGCAGGGCGAGGGGGGCCCTCCGCGGCTGGACGCCCAGAGGACCCGCGACGGCCAGACGGTGCAGGTGACGGTGCCCCCGGGCGTGGCGGCGGGCAGCAGCTTCCGCTTCGCGTGCCCCGCGACGGTCGAGGAGGACGGGGGGGAGGAGCCGGAGCAGGAGCAGGAGCAGGAGCAGGAGCAGGAGGAGGAGAGGGAGGATGGGGGAGGGGGAGGGGAGAAGGGGGGCGAGAGAGGACGAGGGAGTCGGAGGGGGAGGGGGAGGCGGACGAGGGGGGAGGAGGGAGGAGGGGCTGGTGGGACGTGGACATGGGAAAGACCGATCATGAGTTCCCGTGCGTAAGAGTCTGAGGAGGGGGCAGGCTACTCCTCTTGCCATCTCCAGAGGAGGGAGGCGAGCACGGCCGAGCACATGACTAAGACATAAGACATTTCCTCCCGAAAGGCCGGGCCAGCCTTTCTTGAACGACTCGCCAGAACGCCGGCCTAGTTTCTGGAGCACGCTCGTCCCAGATCGATGGCGCGAGAGATTGGCCCAGGCATGCCTGCAGAAGCTTCTGGGAAGCTGGCCCAGGTTTCTTAGGCGATGCGTTGCTAGATCATCGTTTCGGCTGTACTTGTCGAGGAGCAGCGGAGGGAGGAGGATACGCCCAGGTACCCCGCTCGTCCGCCCGTCCCGACGGTGCAGGCGACCGTGATCGGGGACGATTCGGACTGGCTGGACTCGCCACGGGCCGCGGGGGCGGAGAAGCACTGCTGCTGCCGAGGGTGCTGCTCAGAGCAGGACAAGGTACCCATAGCGCTACCCTTCCTTCGTTTTCCCTGTTTGGGCCTCCTGGGAGGCCCTCGTCGCCACCGCTGGATTTGCGTCGAAATTCGGTCAGAACGCACCCTGGGAGGGGTCTGGGGAGTAGCCGTATCGGTGCTGCCTGATTCCCCCGCCTACGGAGGAGGGAGGGGCAGGAGGAGGAGGAGGAGGAGGAGGAGGAGGAGGCGGACCACGCTTGCTTCTCCTGGAGCAGTTTTTCGCACGAGAGCTCTGGCTGTGGTCGTGCGAGCGCTGCGGCAACGCTGGCCCAAGTCTGCCCAGCGCAGGGGGAGGATGAGGGAGCATGAGGGTGCGGAGGGCACGTGCAGGGAGGAGAGGAGAGGAAGGACGCGGAGGAGGTACGGGGCAGGAGGATGGGAGGATGGGGGCGGCCCCTACTTGCCAAAGCACCCCAGCCCCTCCGAAGGTCCCAGACCCCCCCTCTCCCAGGGAGGACGCGGAGGAGGTATGGGGCAGGAGGATGGGGGGATGGTGCCGAAATGGGCGGAGGGGCGCATACGGACACTGCCGCGGGGGTCTTCGGTGGAGCTCCCTATGGGGCCACGATCCTCGTGAGGGGCGTGCCGAAACGGGCGGGGGGGCGCATGCGGACCCTGCCACTGGGGCCTTCGGTGGGGCTCCCTGTGGGGCCACGATCCTCGTGAGGGGCGTGCCGAAACGGGCGGGGGGGCGCATGCGGACCCTGCCGCGGGGGCCTCCGGTGGGGCTCCCTCTGGGGCCACGATCCTCGTGAGGGGCGTGCCGAAATGGGGCTCCCTGTGCGGCCACGGTCCTCGTGAGGGGCGTGCCGAAATGGGCGGGGAGGGGGGCGCACGCGGACCCTGCCGCGGGGGCCTCCGGTGGGGGGGCGTGAGCCGGCAGGGTGCGAGGTCGCGCGCGGGGGCCGCGCGCGCCCCAGAGGTGGAGGCGGCACCGCCTGGCAAGCTACAGTGAAGCCATGAAGTTCACGCAGTCATCTTCGGGAGGTGCCAGAGCAAAGAGCCGAGTGCCATGGAGTACTTCTGAGAGCGGCGTACCATGCGTCATCTTCAAATACCCGTTGACGTTGGATGTCCACCCGATATTCGGGCGTCCCCGGGAGCGCTTGCCAGAGAGAGAAATCCATGTCATGACTGTTGCCGGCCAAGACACATCCTCTCGAAAGGCTTTATGAACCAGCCGCCACTGCATTCTGTCAATGACTTGCAACCAATCAGAAACACTATGCTGAGAAAGCGCGCTTCGAAGGCGATGATTGCAGCGTCTGCCGGCGTCTTCCCAATCCTCTCCTGGCCGCTTCCAAAAACCCACGACTTTGCGCAGCAAAGTTTCGCCAAATCCTTCAACATCCGCTAAGACCGCTTCAGTGCAAGCACCGATTGGGGACAAATCTTCTCTACCGCATGGAGTGCGCGTGGGCCAAATACCATGCGAACAGGGTGGTTCTCACCAACAAGAACAATTCTGTCAAGTTGCGAATCCGTCTTTTTGACAGAGTGGTCTCACCTACAGCCGCGTATGGTCTAGCCGCTAAGTCTAGCCATTTGCGCGCGGACGCAGCAACAACGCATGAGGATTACAGTGGCAGGCTGGGTTCCCGGGTTCCTGGTTCGGGGTTCCGGGGTTCCCGGTTCCGGGTTCCGGGGGCCGATTTCGGAGGGTGGCGAGGTTCCCGGGTGCCCAGGTTCTTGGTCGATCTTCTTATCGATCGGTCTCACCATCGATCTCATTACCGATTTCTCGATCGATCTCACAATCGATCTCACAGTCGACCCCACTATCAGTCTCACAATCGATCTCACTAGAGATCGCATGAGCGATCTCGCGATCGATCTCACTATCGATCTCATTGAATCGATATCACTCTCGGTCTCACGATCGACCTTACAATCGCCCTCACTATCGATTACATTATCGATCTCACAATCGATTTCAAGATCCGTAGTATCAATTTTCGAATCATCCACTGATTGGGCTTTCTCAGGTCTCAGGTGTACTCATATTTGATCAATCCAACGTGTTCCCGGACAACTTCCGCCTCAAATCCGGGTGGGGGGACGCATGCGGACCTTGCCGCTGGGGCCTCCGGTGAAGCTCCCTATGGGGCCGCGATCCTTTTGAGGGGTGTGCCGAAATGGGCGGGGGGACGCATGCGGACCCTGCCGTTGGGGCCTTCGGTGGGGCTCCCTATGGGGCCACGATCCTCGTGAGGGGTGTGCCAAAGTGGGCGGGGGGACGCATGCGGACCGTGCCACTGGGGCCTTCGGTGGAACTTCCTATGGGGCCACGAACCGTGTGAGGGTTGTGCCGAAACGGACATGTGGATAACCAAGCCTCGACGCTGACGATGGCGATGTTAATGACGCCGATGATGGCGATGGTGATCACAGTGACGATCACGATAATGATGGTGAGGACGGCACGCGGAGAGGAGAGGCAGGGATGGGAGGAGGGAGGGGGGAGAGGAGGGGGAAGAGGAGGAGGAGAGGAGACGCGGGGCGCTGTCTCTTCAGAACGAGGACCCCACACCACAGGATGGTTGGGAACGGCAAGTCGGGTTGGATAGAGTGTGCGGGTTCCGCCGCGTGTGTTTTCTCGGTGTTCCAGAGCGTCCCCCCCTCTGGAGGCTGGCAGGCCCAGCGGCGGCTCCGGGTTGGGCTGAGGTGGCTCGGTGGGCAGTCGGATGGGTATGGGGAGCTTGGCATCGCTCGGACGCGTGCATTTTTTCCTCGGCGAGGACCATCGAGGAGCATCTTGGATCATTTTCGTCGAAATATATCACGACATCGAAGACAAATCGTCTCGAAAAGCTTTGTGAACGTGCCGCCACTGCATTCTGCCAACGACTTGCAACTAGTCAGAAACACTATGCTGAGAAAGCGCGCTTCGAAGTCGATGTTTGCCGCGGTCGCTGGCGTCTTCCCAATCTTCTCCTGGCCGCTTCCAAAAATCCACGACTTTGCGCAGCATTGCGGAGCTCGTGGCTGTAATCCTCATGCGTTGTTGCTGCGTCCGCGCGCAAATGGCTAGACTTAGCGGCTAGACCATACGTGGCTGTAGGTGAAACCACGTTGACAGAGCTGTTTTTGTTGGTGAGAACCGCCCTGTTCGCATGGTACTTGGCCCACGCGCACTCCATGCGGTAGACAAGATTTTTCCCCAATCGGTGCTTGCACTGAAGGGGTCCTAGCGGATGTTGAAGGATTTGACGAAAATTCTCCGCCGATTTTGGTGGCAGGCTGGGTTCCCGGGTTCCCTGTTCGGGGTTCCCGGGTTCCCGGTTCCGGGTCCCGCGGGCCGATTTCGGAGGGCGGCGAGGTTCCCGGGTTCCCGGGCTCTTGGTCGATCTTCTTATCGATCGGTCTCACCATCGATCTCATTACCGACTTCTCGATCGATCTCACAATCGATCTCATTATCAGTCTCACAATCGATCTCACTAGAGATCGCATGAGCGATCTCGCGATCGATCTCACTATCGATCTCATTGAATCGATATCACTCTCGGTCTCACGATCGACCTTACAATTGTCCTCACTATATATTACACTATCGATCTCTTTCTCGATCTCACAATCGATCTCAAGATCCGTAGTATCAATTTTCAAATCATTCACTCATTGGGTTTTCTCAGGTCTCAGGTGTACTGATGTTTGATCTATCACACATGTTCCCGGACAACTTCCGCCTCAAATCCGGGTGGGGGGACGCATGCGGACCCTGCCGCTGGGGCCTGCGGTAAAGCTCCTTGTGGGCCCACAATCCTCGTGAGGGGTGTGCCGACATGGGCGGGGGGACGCATGCGGACCTTGCCGTTGGGGCCTTCGGTGGAGCTTATGGGGCCACGATCCTCGTGAGGGGTGTGCCAAAGTGGGCGGGGGGACGCATGCGGACCCTGCCACAGGGGCCTTCGGTGGAGCTCCCTATGGGGCCACGATCCGTGTGAGGGGCGTGCCGAAGCGGACATGCGGATAACCAAGCCACGACGCTGACGATGGCGATGTAAATGACGCCGATGATGGCGATGGTGATCACAGTGAATATCACGATAATGATGGTGAGGACGGCACGCGGAGAGGAGAGGCAGGGATGGGAGGAGGGAGGGGGGAGAGGAGGGGGAAGAGGAGGAGGAGAGGAGACGCGGGGCGCTGACTCCTCAGAGCGAGGACCCCACACCACGGGATGGTTGGGAACGGCAAATCGGGTTGGATGGAGTGTGCCGGTTCCGCTGTGTGTGCTTTCTCGGTGTTCCAGAGCGTCCCCCCCTCTGGAGGCTGGCAGGCCCAGCGGCGGCTCCGGGTTGGGCTGAGGTGGCTCGGTGGGCAGTCGGATGGGTATGGGGAGCTTGGCATCGCTCGGACGCGTACACTTTTTCCTCGGCGAGGACCATCGAGGAGCATCTTGGATCACTTTCGAAACATATCTCGCGACATCGAAGACTGCACGGGCAACGAACGCCCGAGCGATGGCAGGGGCAGAGGAAGGAGGGGACAGACGCCCCTTTGCAGCCCCCCGGGCATACAGACAGACAGACAGACATGCCCATCCGAGGGGCAGCCGGGGCGGCCAGGAGGAGGAGAGGGATTTTGATATGCACCATTTTTTTTCTATGGCAATCCCTCACAGCACTCGACCACAAGACGTCAGACTCATACGTACAAACCTGTGCGAGGCGTCTCCTGCCAGCCTGGCCGGCCGGCCGAAGACTTGGCTCTGTGCTGAATCCTCGTCTTTTGGAAGGGCTGGACGGTGCGACAGGGGAACTGAAGGTGGTGAGGATCTGGAGGTAGGACGAGCAGGTGGGTGCAGCTTGTGCGGGTCTCTTCTCCTGCGGTGCTTGTGGCCCCTCGTGCTCTTCGTGGCGGCGAGCGTGGCGGGTGGCGGGGCGGGCGTCGGCGCGCCGGTGTTGACGCAACGGGCTTTCCCTCCGCGGCTGGTCTAAGAGAAAGGACCCCGAGATATGGGCAGTGCAATGTTTCCACGCCAGCCTGTCTTGCCAGGTTGCGGGCTCCGGGAGTCCACGTCGATCTGTCTGGTTCCTCCCAACCACGTCCTGGGCGTTTTTGTCGCTACCGTCTGGTAGTGTGTCTTCTCGGCGTGTTCCAAAACGCTACACAAGCGATGTATGATTTCTGCGTGTTTGGGGCAGTGTTTAGGGCGTATGTTTAGGTCTCGTTGCTGTGGATCGTTAGTCTTTGCAAAACCTGTCGAGCCGGATCGACGATCTGGCTCGATTGCCGCAGAAAGATGGGGTCTGGTGCTCCAGTCGTGATCTTTAGTGCACCTTGGTCGCAGCGTCGACCCTCTCACTGGCTGTGCCCTGGCCTCCCGAGGTCTTCGGGGGGTGCCCGTGCCCCGCGTGCAGCCGCGACGCAGAGAGCAGGCCAGGCCAGCAGAGTTCGAGGGTGCCGACCCCGTGACCCCCTTCGGGCGACGAGACCTATGCATCTCCACTGCTCTCTGGCCAGGCCCAGCCTGAGCCCAAGAGCTGTGTATACGCCCTCCTGCCCAAGCCAGGAGGGCGTGGCGTGTACACCGCTGCTGGGTGGGGGGCAGTGGACATGTATAGATTTCGTCGCCGGAGGCACCGATTGAGCGTCGATCAGCTTGCCTCAGTGTCGACTCGCGCCGGCTCGCGTCGATTGGCGTCGGGCAGCGTCGGCTCACAAGAGCCAGCAAGATGGCACGGGAGGCTCCCATGAGTTGCCACAGAAGGTGTTGAGACCGCCCCGGACTACTCCGGGGGCCTGTCGTCGGGGGGCCTGCTGAGGCCAGCCTGGACCACCTGGGGGGGCTGTCTGTGCGCAGCCCGAAGCCTTGCCATGATCAGGGGTCAAAGTTCGACCCCTGGACCTCTCCTGGGGCGCGTTCTGACCGGAAGTCCAGGGCGGATTGGCAGCCGTGGCCACGAGGGCGCTTCAGAACGACCGGAGATGGCCAGCAAGCGAACCTCGGACCCTGGCAGTCCAATCTCGAGAAACTCGGCTTCACGGCGGGCCCACCGCACAGGACCTCAGAACACATGCGAACAACAACTTCCGTCTTGAAGTCCCTGGAGGTCTCGACGACTTCCCAAGGACCGGCGTTTCATCCCGAGTCGTTATTCGAAGGTCCCGGGGCCCAGTGAGGGCTCCCCGATGCCGAAGCTCACAGAAACAAAAGATGGCCATTGCGTTTTTTCCCAAACATCTTGCTGAACGGAGTGCTATTGTGATCGGAGCTAACTCTGGCCGTGGGACAGGGAAGCAGAGGCATCCTCAAATAAATCTGGTGGTCGGGGCCGTTTCGCCTGAGACATCCTCGCAACTCTCGTTTCTGAGGTGTCCGGGTTTGGCCGTTTCGCTTGAGACATTCTCTAACATTTGGGCTCCAGGACGCCGTGCGCGAGGTGGTCCAACCCGTTTTGCCTGAGACATCTTCGAAATTCGAAGCCCCGAGATGCCGTGCGAGAGATGGTCTGGCGCGTTGCGCCTGAGGCGTCCTCCCAAGTCAGAGCTCCGAGACACCGCGCGCGAGGTGGTCCGGCGCGTTTCGCCAGAGACATCCTCCCCATTCTGAGTTCCGAGATGCCGCGCCAGAGGCGGTCTGGCGCGTCTCGCTTGAGACGTCCTCGCAAATCTGGGCTCTGAGATGCCGCGCCAGAGGTGGTCTGGCGCGTTTCGCCTGAGACATCTTCGAACCTCTGAGCTCCGCGAGGAAATAGAGGGGAGCAGGGGTCAGACGCACACGAACCGATGTGCTTCCGCTCTTGTTGTCGAGCGGTGCTCGGGGAGATCTCGGCGCCCCCGGCCCGACGGAGGATGCAGCCCAGAGCCCAGGCGCGAGCACGGTTCCTCGGGGAACTTGCTGGAGCAGCCGTGCGGGAGCGAGTCGCGGCGGTGCCTCGAGCGAGAGCGCGGCGAGCCGAGAGGAGGCCGGATGTGGGAGCGGAGAGGGAGGAGGAACGAGCTCGGAGATGTTGCGCGAGAAGAGTGACTGAGGGAGGAGACGGGGCCTGGCTCACACGCTGCCTGCTTGAGGGCATCCCTGACGAGGGTGCCCCGTGGAAGCGGCATCGGGAGTGCGAAGGCATGCCTGGCACGGCAGAGGGAGCGGAGAAGAGGAAGGAAAGGGGGAGGAGGATCAAGAGGAGGAGGAGGGAGGAGGAGGAGGAGGAGGAGGAGGAGGAGGAGGAGGAGGAGGAGCAGGAAGAGCAGGATAAGCAGGATGAGCAGGAGGAGGAGGGGAGGAGGAGAGGAGGAGACGGAGGAATGTTGGGATGAGTAGGAAAAAGGAAAAGGACGGGGGGGGGACGAGGAGGAGGGGAAGATGGAGGAGGAGGACGACGAGGAGGAGGAGGAGGAGGAGGAGAGGAAGAGGAACACGAATGCGAGGACGAGAAGTAGGAGGAGCATTCCAAGGAGGCGGGCGGGAGGAGGAGGAGGAGGAGGAGAGGAGGAGGAGGAGGTGAGGAAGAGGGAGAGGAGGAGGAGGAGGAGGAGTACGAGGAGGAGATGAGAATTCATTAGGGGGGGAGGAGGAGGAGGAGGAGGCGGAGGAGGAGGGGGAGGAGGAGGAAGAGGAGGGAAGGAATGAGGAGAAGTAGCACTGCGAAGCGGGGGAGGACGAGCAGCGCGAGGAGGAGCACGAGGAGTATAGGTGGAGCGTGGCGAGCAGGAAGGGTTGGAGGAGCAGGAGAAATACAAGGATGCAGCCGGTGACGAGGTAGGAGATGAGGAGGAGGAGGAGGACGAGGAGGAGGAGGAGGAGGAGGAGGAGGAGGAAGAAGAACACACCGACGAGGACGAATAGCACCAGGAGCACGCGGAGGATTTTGTACGAAGCGCGGGACGAGGAGAGGAAAAGGAGGAGGATAAAAATGAGGCGCAGGAAAAAGGGGGGAGTAGGAGGAGGAGGTGGGGGAGGAGGAGGAGGAGGAGAAGGAGGGGGAGGAGGAGGGGCGCGAGCGCGCGACAAGGCCGGTTGCGTTTCCCTCCGCCTCCTCCTCGTCGACATCATCTGGCACGGGCGAACTGTGTACGGAAATGATAGGTGCGCGCCCCAACAGCAGTTCTCTTTCATTTTGACATGGACTTGCTCTCCGCGCCGCCGCGGACGTTGTCCATGGGAGGCAGGAGGCCGCTTGCCCAACAGCGGCCGCTGTCGATTCTGGACAACATTTGTTGCTGGGCATCGTCCCCATTTTTCCGCTACCCGCTTCGGGCCTCAGAAGGTATCTTCTTCCTCCTCCTCCTCCTCCTCCTCCTCGATCTCCCTCGATATTTTCCTCCTCCTCGATCTCCCTCTCCTAGGCTGGTGGCGTCTTCGACAGCGCCCTGTTCCGCTCCTTTGCCGCCCAGCGCGCGGCCGCCGCCGAGCGCGTGCAGGAGCTGCACTGGGTTCGCCAGGACAGGCAGGCGAGCGAGACAGGCTTCTTCGTGGAGGAGGAGGAGAAGGATACTCAGGAGAAGGATGAGAAGGAGGAGGAGGAGGAGGAGGAGGAGGAGGAGGAGGAGATCGAGGACCATATCGAGGAAGAGGTCGAGAGGATCGAGGAGATCGAAGAGAAGGGGGAGGAGGACACCAAGGAGGAGGTCAAGGAGATCGAGGAGATCGAGGAGGAGGAGGCGGAGATCGAGTAGGAGGAGGAGGAGGAGGAGGAGATCGAAGAGCAGATCGAGGAGGAGGAGGGGAGAGGAGGAGGCGGAAATCGAGCAAGAGGGGATCGAGCAGGAGGAGGAGGAGGAGGAGGAGGAGGAGGAGGAGGAGGAGGAGGAGAGCGAGGAGGAGGAGGAGGAGGAGGAGGAGGAGGAGGAGGAGGAGGAGGAGGATGTGAACGAGGGCGGAGGAGGAGGAGGAGGAGGAGGAGGAGGAGGAGGAGGGATCCCTGTCGGCGTGGCGGCGCCCCCCAACTCTTTTGGGCTCCTTGCCCGGGGTCTAGCTGCGGCTGGCCGCGGCGCCGTGCTTGTGGAGCGAGGTGGCCTCGGCATTTCGAGTACAGTCAACCCGCATGGGAAGGATGGGCGGCTGTCCCAACGGCACCCTTGCATCCGTGCCTCCTCGGCCCAGCCTTTGTCACTTTTGTTGGCCGAGCCCCGCTCGAACAGCTTCGGAATGCGCGTCCGGGGCTCTTGCATCCTTACCGCGCAACCCTACGATACGGGCCGACCGTAGGGGTTCAGCTGCAGAATCGGTGTACTTCCAAATCGGTTATCCCGCCGGGTGTACCAGAAACGCGTAGAGCGTTCGTAGATCTACGGGGCATGCCACGCATCTGTTCGCACATTCGGCGGGAACATCAAATTTGGAGTAAGCCACTTCTGTAGTCGATCCGCTACTCGAGTAGCAGAAAGCTCGCGGCGTGGAGCAGCTGTGGCCGCAGAGTGACAGGAAGGCGAAGGCCAGCCAAGACGCTGGGGTAGGGCTCAGGAGGAGCGCTGGATTTTGCGGGCCGTTCCTTCGTTCTCGGTCGGGGAGCCTCTTCGTGACCGAGGCCCGCCGCAGCCAGGAAAGAGGACCACTCTGGGCTCAGGAGGGGCGCTGGATTTTTGGGGCCGTTCCTTCGTTCTCGGTCGGGGGGCCTGTTCGTGACCGAGGCCCGCCGCAGCCAGGAAAACGCTCTTTCGTTGCTGGCTCAGCGCGCCCCTCCTGGTAGCGCGAAGCGTTGCTGACCAGATCCTCGCAATCGCAATTCGAGTCATGTGTGGGGTGCCCGCGTGGTGTCAACTCCAGCACTGCCGCTATGGATGTAAGTGGAGCAAGTTCAACTCCATCGCAAACTCGATTTGCAAGCTATCTGAAGTCTCTATGCAATTATGTTCAATCTCAGCCCTTCGGACGACACCACCCACACGGCGACGGAAAACATTTACCCTGGCGAAGGACCCACCCGTATGCAGTTGTGAGTAACGCGTTGTAGGTGCTGCCGCTTTCGGTGGAGCTCCCTATGGGGCCACGAAGCGCGTGAGGGACATGTCGTAATGGGCTACGAAACGCTGTACTGGGTGTGGCGGGCGCATGCGGGCGATGCACCTAGCTGGGGCTCCCGATGAGGCCACGAAACGCTGTATTGGTTGGGGGGACGCATGCGGGCGGTGCCACTGGGGTCTTTCGGTGGCTCTCCCTGTGGGGCCACGAAACGCTGTACTGGGAGGGGGGGACGCAGGCGGGCGGTGCCGATGGGGCCTTCGGTGAAGCCCCTGATAGAGCCACGAAAAGCTATACTGGATGGTGGCTGACGCATGCGGGCGGTCCCACTGGGACCTTCGGTGGAGCTCCCTATAGGGCCACGAAGCGCTATACTGGGCGGTGGCTGACGCATGCGGGCGGTGCCACTGGGGCCTTCGGTAGAGCTCCGTATGGGACCACGAAACGCTGTGCAGGGTGGTGGCTGTCGCATGCGGGCGGTGCCATTGGGGCCGTCGGTGGAGCTCCCTATGGGGCCACGAAGCACTGTGCTGGGTGGCGGCTGACGCATGCCGGCGGTGCCACTGAAGCCTTCGGTGGCTCTCCCTGTGGGGCCACGAAACGCTGTACTGGGAGGGGGGGACGCAGGCGGGCGGTGCCGATGGGGCCTTCGGTGGAGCCCCCTTATGGGGCCACGAAACGCTGTGCTGGGTGGTGGCTGACGCATGGTCCCACTGGGACCTTTGGTGGAGCTCCCTATGAGGCCACGAAGCGTTGTACTGGGTGGTGGCTGTCGCATGCGGGCGGTGCTACTGGGGCCTTCGCAGAAGCCCCTCCTGGGGCCACGAAACGCTATACTGGATGGTGGCTGACGCATTCGGGCGGTGTCACTGGAGCCGTCGGTGGAGTTTCTTATGGGGCCACGAAGCGCTGTGCTGGGTGGTGGCTGGCGCATGCGGGCGGTGCCACTGGGGCCTTCGGTGGGGCCCTTATGGGGCCACGAACCGCTGTGCAGGGTGGTGGCTGACGCATGCGGGCGGTCCCACTGGGACCTTCGGTGGAGCTCCTTATGGGACCACGAAACGTGTGAGGGGTGTGCCAAAGTGAGGGGGGTGACCCGAGGAGGAGGAGGAGGAGGCGGAGGAGGAGGGAGGAGGAGGAGGAGGAGGAGGAGGAGGAGGAGGAGGGAGGAGGGAGAAGGAGGGGAGGAGGAGGAGGAGGAGGAGAGGAGGAAAAGGAGGAGAGGAGGAGGAGAAGAGAAGGAGAGGAGGAGGGAGGAGGAGGAGGAGAGGAGGAGGAAGAGGAGGAGGAGGAGGAGGAGGAGGAGGAGGAGGAGAAGGGGAGGAGAAGGAACGCGGGGACCGTCTCTTCAGACCGCGGACCCAACACCACAGGATGATTGAGAACTTCGGGAACAAGCATGACAAATTCTAACGCCAGTGTTATAGTCACCAGCAGGCCTGGGCAATTTGACAGAGCACGATCATGAGCCTAAACTTGAAAGCGTTGAGTGCTAGCACCCGTGAACCCTACACCCTACAGACGGGTGAACACTACACAGTACCACAAACAGAGAACAACCATTCATGTGTACAAGCGTTGGCATCAAGCCGTCGAAAGCGTGTGAGCCCTCGGCGCAGTAGCTACTGGCTGCGTCCGTCGTCTTGTCAAAATGGCGATGCAGATTCTGGTGCTCGTGAGTCAGGAGGGTCTCCCCTCCCTCGTCGGGCGTCCCGCCATCGCCTCCGAAGTCGATCACCCTCTACAGTCGGGGTCTGAAGAAGGAACCCTTTTCGTTGGGGAGGGGCTCCGCGTTCCTTAAGTGTTTCACAGCTTGCCTCAGGCTTTCCTTATGTTTTCGGCAGAAAATCGAAGGTTAACTTATGGAAAAAAGGGGCCTCGTTCCTTATTTAGGGTTCCTTAGGTCAACGCCCCGGCTGTAGCCCCAGAAGTGCTGTCGACTAACTTCATCTTGCGAGCACGCGCCCGCCTGGCTTACTTGGCCTTCCAGTGAGCCCCGGCGTGCGACCCGACCGCTCCGATGCACTGGAACCTGGCGAGCGCCTGCGGTGAGCTGAGGCAGCTCCAGGCCTTCCCTCCTCCCTCCTCCCTCCCCCCGCCTCCTCCTCCTCCTCATCCTCCTCCTCCTCCTCCTCTTCCTCCTCCTCCTCCTCCTCCTCCTTCTCCGCAGCAGCAGCAGCAGCAGCCGGGGATCCGCCCGTGGGGGATCAGCACAGTGCGCATGGCCTCGACCTTCTCCACAGCTCCTGAGGTCGAAGCGCTGGGCGGCTGGTACGACTTGGCGGTGACGGTCGCCGACGCGACGCCAGCCGCGAAGGCGCCACCGCCGCTTGGGCCCGAGGCTTTTGAGGCCTGCGCTGCGTCGTCGTGCTGTTAGGGCCTCCCGCCCACTGCGGTGGCCCCTGCCTCTCGGGCGAGCGTCCTGGCTGGCGGCCGTGCGCTTGCGCAGCCCTGCGGCAGCCAGTGCGCGGGCAGCCGCCTCCTCCCCTGGCCCTCGCCTGCCTCGGGTGCTGCTGCTCGTTGGCGAGCCGATGCGCCGCGTCGTGCTTCCCGTGCTCCGACAGCACGTCGGGTTGCCTCTCGGCCGCGGGAGCGCTCGCGCACGGCGCCTCCGCCTCCCCCCTGCGTCGCCGCGGTCTCGTCTGCAGCTGCCATCTTGCTGGTCAGAGCCATTATCATCGCCATGGCTGCCGTGAGCGCCTAGGTGGTAGACGCCGCAGCCCCTTTGGCAGCGCTGGACGGCACGCTCTTCGGTATGGTCGGCCCTTCGAGCCCCCGCCGCCTTGGGACTTCGGCCTGAAGTGTCTCGCGGGCCTGCTGCATTGGCCGCACTTCCCCATATCGGTTTGCACTGTGTGGTTACATTCGTGGGTGTCGCATCTCGCGCACGTGCTCCACGGCTTGGGCGGCTGCACGCAAGCCAGGCCCCGCTTTCGCCAGCGCAACCGCTTCCCCGAACCGTTGAAGAGAGAGTGCGCTACTCCGCACAAGGTTGGGCCTCGGATGCCAACATGACGTTAGAGCCAACGGTGCCCGAGAAAGGGGGAGGAGGACGGAGGAGGAAGAAAGGGAGGAGGAGGGGGATGATGAGGAGGTGGGAGGAGGGAGGATGGGGAGGATGCGCAGGAGGAGGATGAGGAGGATAATGGAGCATAGATGAGGAGGGTTATGCTGAGGATGAGGATGAGGAGGAACGAGGAGGGAGGATGCGGGAGTAGAAGAAGGAGGACGAGAAGGGGAGAAGGAAGGAGGCGGAGAAGGAGGAGAAGGAGGAGGAGGAGGAGCAGGATGATGCTGAGAATGAGGAGGAGCAGGAGGATGAGGAGAAGGAGAATAAACAAGGAGACGGACGGAGAGCCATTGGGATCAAGAGGAGGATGAAGAGGGAGGATAAGGACGATGATGCTCATGATGTTCATGATGATGTTGGTGGTAGTGGTGATGATCATGATGAATATGAGGATGCTCATGGTGCTGAACACGATGTTGACGATGATGATGCTGGTGATGCTGATGATGTTGATGATTATGCTGGTGCTGATGATGCTGCTGCTCATGATCATGATTCTGAGTATGATGATGGTGTTGGCGGTGATGCTGATGCTGATGCCGGCGATGCTGATGATGACCATGGCGATGCGGATGCTGATGACTACTGTATGTCATGAGGATGCTGTGACTCATTGTGGTACTGCTGCTACTGTTGCTGATACTGATGCTGCATATCATGATGCTGACGCTGATGTTCATGACGAGGATGATAACGGTGAACATGATGCTGATAATGCTGCTGATGATGATGCTGATGTTGACAATGCTGGGGATGATGATGAGGAGGAGGATGACGAGGAGGATGATTACGTTTCTGCTGATGCTGACGATGGTTAACTATGTGAATGACGGCAATGACGATGCCGATGATGTTGATGTTGTTGTTGGTGGTGATAATGATGATGGTGATGATTATGATTATGGTGTTGTTGACGTTGATTATCCTGCCCCTGCTGGTGGTGATTATGGGAATGATGATGATGACGATGATGCTGATGAAGATGATGATGATGATGATGATGATGATGATGATGATGATGATGATGATGATGATGATGATGATGATGGTGATGATGATGATGATGATGATGATGATGATGATGAAGATGATGAGTATGATGATAACGATGATGATGATGTTGATGTTGATACTGATGCTGACGCTGCTGCTGATGATGATGAGGATGATGATGATTGTGGTGGTGATGATGACGACGATGCTGATGATGCGGACGAGGAGGCGGAGGGGGACGGGGAGGATGAGGAGGATGAAGACGAAGAGGAGGAGGAGGAGGAGGAGGAGGAGGTCACGAGAAAGCCACGGTGCTGGGGACCCAGGGGCTTTCTGACGCCCCAGGCTGGCTGGTGTACCTTGGCGGGTGGTGCCTCTGCTGCTGCTGCGGGCCCGTGGGGCCGATCCTCTGGTTCTCGGCAGCGCGGAAACTGCGCCCCCAGAGAACGTCCGCGTCCACTGCCGCGGGGTCGGGCCACCAGGACTCGGGCAGCGATGGACATTGATATCTGCCCGTGCGGGCGGGCAGATACCTGCACATTGTTCATTTCTAAGTGTTCTATTCTGGGCCTCTTCCTGGCCACTAGGGGGCCAGGAACAATTTGAAACGAGCACAATCAGAAATGAGCACGATTAGAAGTGAACGACGTGTACCTATAGCCACCATGCAAAAGCACATGTCTATATCCACCACTCCCCGAGATCCCTGGGCACGGCCCCGAAGCGGAAGCTTTGGGCATATCGCCCGGCAGCGGTGGGGATGTGGACATCTCCTGGCGGCAGACACACAAAGGGGGGGGGGGGGCGGGCGAGTGGGGGGGAGGGGCGGCCTTCGACGAGGGATCGCCGCCCCGCCCCTCAAGAAGGGGGGCGGGGGGCGTGCGCTTCGGGGGCGCGGGCCCCCCTCGAAAATCCCTGGACCTCCTATCTGCCGTCGACCCTCGAGAGCCGCTCCTATCCCCGATGGAGCCTCCTCGTCGGATCCTCGAGCCCCCTCGCATCCTCGAGCCTCCTCGAGCCCCCTCAAGCCGTCCCTTCGACGAAGATCCCCCCGTCGCCTCCCTTGGCGGGCAGCCCCGCTCTCTCGCCGCAGCCCCTGGCGATCGCCGCCGAGGTTCACCATCGCCGGCGCCTTCTTCTGCAAGCCTGCGGAGCACCGCGAGCGCTTCGAGCGCGAGCGCAGCGTGGCCGCCTCGGGAGCTCCGAATCCGTTGGCCAAGGCTCGGCCATCGGACCAGGGGTCGGATCCGTCGACCTCCTCCTGACGCATCGCGCATCCAGGGGAGGAGGAGAGGACAGGGAAGAGAGGGAAGCGATCCGCATACCCATCCCTCTCCCGCTTGCGTTCGCGGACGGCTGGGCCACGACTCCGTCCACCGGTGGTGGTGGGCCCCAGCGCGGGTGGGCGGGGGGGAGCTCGTCGATCGATCGGGGTCCGGGTGGCCACTTGGAGCCGCGGTCGACGGAGTGTTCCGCCGCAGAAATGTTCACGCAGTGGCGGAGCGTCCTGGCTCGCCTATAGCCCTACCAAACAATTGTCTAAGGACCTTTTGTGGTGTCCACGAAATGCTATTAGAACATTTCTGCCGGAGTCTGCCTTGTTTTGTCACATCGGATTTATGTTCTAAGAACATTGTTTGTGTTGTGAGAATAATGTAGTGGCCTTCGGCCAGTGCCGCCGATCCGGGGCGCTCCGACTGATGTGATCCTTCTTCGCCCTTGTCCCTCCTCTCTTTTTCCCTCCCCTCCTCTCACTCAGCATTTATCGAAGACGCCTACGGCGAATCACCGCCGCCCCCTGCCTTTTTGGAAACGCCGATGTGGCCGAAAGTTGGACTAGAGCTTGGCCAAGCTATCGGACCATGAGTTCCCCGAGTCGGTTTGGAAAGCTTTCGGGGAACACATGGGAGAGAATGATTATGAACAGGAAGAGGAAGAGGAAGAAATAGAGTAGGAGGATGAGGGTTGTTAGGAGTCTCTTGGGGCACCCTTGGGGTCTGTTGGGGGCTTCTTGGGGGCCTCTTCGAGGCCTCTTGGAGGCATCTTGGGGGCCTCCTTGGGCCTCTTGGGGGCCTTTGGGGGCTTCCTGGGGGTCTCTTTGGCCGTCTTAGGGCGTTCCTGGTCCGTCTGACGCCGTCTGGAGCCGTCTTGGGGGCCTCTCTGGGCCGTCTTGGGGCCCTCTTGGGGCGCTTCAGGGCCGTCTTGGAGGCCATGTTGGGCGTCTTGGAGGCCTCTTGGGCCGTCTTGGGGCGCTCTTGGGGCCGTCTTGGGGGGCCCTTGGGCCGTCATAGGGCCTTCTTGGAGGCCTCTTGGGCGATCTTGGGGGCCTCTTGGGCCGTCGGAAGGCCGAAAAGAAGAAAACGCAAAAAACCTTGAAAAACCTAAGGAAAACCAATGATTTTGGCCTCTTCGGGCTCTCCTGGAGAACGTCTTGGAGGCCTCTTGGGCCATCTTGGAGGCATCTTGGGGCCATCTTGGCCGTCTTGGAGGGCATCTTGGGCCGTCTTGGAGGCATCTTGGAGCCATCTTACCCGTCTTGGAGGCCATCTTGGCCGTCTGGGAGGCATCTTGGAGGCCATCTTGGGCCATCTTGGCCGTCTTGGAGACCATCTTGGGCCAAGTTGGGGCAACAAAGGCATTGACAGACGGATTTTGGGAAAATTACGGGTGGCCGGCGGGACGGGCCGAAGCCCACTGGGGAGTCCGCCGCCCCCTGCTTAAGCTTGCAGGGGTGCACGGCGTGCTGGACGATTCAGGTTTTGGTTTTGGTTCTTTTTCTAAAAGAACTCCCCAGTGGGCTTCGGCCCGTCCCGCCGGCCACCCGTAATTTTCCCAAAATCCGTCTGTCAATGCCTTTGTTGCCCCAACTTGGCCCAAGATGGCCTCCAAGACGGCCAAGATGGCCCAAGATGGCCTCCAAGATGCCTCCCAGACGGCCAAGATGGCCTCCAAGACGGGTAAGATGGCTCCAAGATGCCTCCAAGACGGCCCAAGATGCCCTCCAAGACGGCCAAGATGGCCCCAAGATGCCTCCAAGATGGCCCAAGAGGCCTCCAAGACGTTCTCCAGGAGAGCCCGAAGAGGCCAAAATCATTGGTTTTCCTTAGGTTTTTGAAGGTTTTTTGCGTTTTCTTCTTTTCGGCCTTCCGACGGCCCAAGAGGCCCCCAAGATCGCCCAAGAGGCCTCCAAGAAGGCCCTATGACGGCCCAAGGGCCCCCCAAGACGGCCCCAAGAGCGCCCCAAGACGGCCCAAGAGGCCTCCAAGACGCCCAACATGGCCTCCAAGACGGCCCTGAAGCGCCCCAAGAGGGCCCCAAGACGGCCCAGAGAGGCCCCCAAGACGGCTCCAGACGGCGTCAGACGGACCAGGAACGCCCTAAGACGGCCAAAGAGACCCCCAGGAAGCCCCCAAAGGCCCCCAAGAGGCCCAAGGAGGCCCCCAAGATGCCTCCAAGAGGCCTCGAAGAGGCCCCCAAGAAGCCCCCAACAGACCCCAAGGGTGCCCCAAGAGACTCCTAACAACCCTCATCCTCCTACTCTATTTCTTCCTCTTCCTCTTCCTGTTCATAATCATTCTCTCCTATGTGTTCCCCGAAAGCTTTCCAAACCGACTCGGGGAACTCATGGTCCGATAGCTTGGCCAAGCTCTAATCCAACTTTCGGCCACATCGGCGTTTCCAAAAAGGCAGGGGGCGGCGGTGATTCGCCGTAGGCGTCTTCGATTCTTTTAGAAAAAGAACCAAAACCAAAACCTGAAACATCCAGCACGCCGTGCACCCCTGTGGCAAGACCACAGGTGGCGGCGGATCCAGTGGCCGTCGGCCTATCCCGCCACCGTGCGTGGGTGGTGGGTCAGAGGCCTCATGGATGCTGGTTGGGATCTCGTGGTTGGCTGGGACTTCTGGGGGCCTCTTGGGCGCCTCTTGGGGCTTCTTGGGGGCCTCTTGGGCCTCTTGGGGCCACTAGAGGGCTTCTTGGGGGTCTCTTGGGAGCCTCTTGGGGCTTCTTGGGGGCCTCTTCTGCGCCCCTTGGGGCCCCTTGGAGGCCTCCTCGGAGCCTCTTGGTGCGGGAGGGGTGGTACTCGAGTTCGGAACCCCCTCGGAGGCCACGATCCTCGTGAGGGGTGTCAAAAAACGCATCCGCCGGAAACTCGCACCCCCCCCCACCCACCCCCCCTTCCCCGGCAGAGCCACCCCGGCAACCCCCCCAGAGGCTGAGGCTCAGCCTCGAGGCTGTAGCTGAGCTTTCTTGAAACTCACACGCCGGATCGGCGGATTTTGGGATTCTAAGAACATTTCGTGGTAGGACTATAGGAATACCGGGACGGTGGGCCCCTGCTCAGTTCAAATAGACACATACACACCCCCTCTCTTAGTCTGCGCCTGGGCCTCAGGGGAGGATGGGATGGCAGTGTCTCAATCACCGCTGCAAGCCAGCGACTTGATGCACCGCCGCCCTCCTCGAAGGGACATGCAGCTTTTGTCGGAGAGTCTCCGTTTTTGTGTCTGTGCTTTTCTCTTTATACATATACACATGTGTGTATACATGTTTGTATGTATGTATGTATGGATATATGTATGCATGCGTGCATGTATGTATGCATGCATGCATGTATGTATGTGTGTATGTATATATATAGGTCTGTATGTCTGTCTGTCTGTCTGTCTGTCTGTCTGTATGTATGTATGTATGTATGTATGTATGTAAGACTGTCTGTCTGTATGTCTGTCTGTCTGTCTGTATGTATGTATGTATGTATGTGGGTGTATGTATGTATGTATGTGTATATGTATGCATGTATGTATGTATGTATGTAAGTACGTACGTACGTACGTACGTATGTATGTATGTATGTATGCATGTATGTGTATATATATATATATATACACAGATACGTCCATTCAAATAATCCGAAAGATGCCTTGGCGATTTTGCGGGGGGCCCTGGCTCCCGGAGCGCTCCGGAGGGCCCCCGAGAGCCCCCAAACGGCCCCGAAACACATCAGAAAAGCTCCCCGGGCCTCCCCAAGCCGGCATTCAAGCGGCCAAAGATGCTTTCCAGACGGCCCCGTCAGCCGCGCATACGCCCCCAGACGGCTTCGGGGAACCCTCAGAGAGCCGCCAAGACAGCCCCATCCCGCAAAAATCCTAGCGTTCCCTGCGTAAAATTGAATCTTGCTCCACCTTCTCTTCTCATGTTTTCGACGCGTCCACGACGGCACCCGAAGCTTCCGAAACCGTCCAAAGACAGCCGCACAGGTCCCCAAGAGGGGTCCAAGGTAGTTCCTGACTGCCCCAGGACGGAGAGAGAGGAGGCCAAGACGGCCCAAGAGGACCCCAAGAGGAGCCCGAGCCAGCCCAAGAAGGCTGTAAGAGTGCCCAAGACGGCCCAAGAGGCGCCCAAGATGTCCCAAGGAGACCCTGAGAGAGCCAAAGAGGCGTACTACATGGACCAAGAGTGACCCGAGAGGCCCCTAAAGGGGCCCTGGCGAGCCCTTTAGACGCCCCCGACGGCGACGACAACGACGACTGTGACCACGGTGCCGACGATCCCTCCTCTGGGGCCTCCTCTGGGGCCTCCTCTGGGGCCTCCTCTGGCAGCTCAGCCTCTGATGATGATGATGATGATGATGATGATGATGATGATGATGATGATGATGATGATGGTGGCGATGTTCGCGCTGGACTCCCATCCATCGCAGATCCTGGATGGGGGCTTTCCTCATCATGTACTTGCGCCGCTTCATCTGGTGACGCGATGTCCTCAGGCAGTGAAAGCATAGCTGGAGAAACCACAGTTTCCTCAACGTCATCCTCCTCTGGTGCGTGCAGGGGGCTCGCCTCGGCTGCTGGCGGCTGCGCTCTGCTGTCGGTTCCAGCGAGACGAAAGTCACAGGCAGTCCCGGGCTCAGCTTGATCATCTGATGCATCCATGGTGAGGCCCTCTTCCTGTTGCACACATGGTGACTCAGCCCTGGCTCGAGCCCTCTTGCCCTTTGATTTCGCCAGGGCCACATGAAGCTTCGTCCTCTTAGCTTTGGGGCCCAGGCTTAATTTCTGGTTCACATCAGCCTTTGGTTTCCTGTCTGCTGGAGCCCACGTTGCCCCTGGTTTAGGCAGGCCTGGCTTTTGGTGAACTGTGTTGGGTTCCTGAGGTGCAAAGTCTTGTCATTGCATTACAATG